TGTAGGGAATTTTTCTATTGTGACACATTACAGAAGTAGGTAGAACACTTTTACACAGCAGGTTTCTTCTTCCACAACAACGGACTCTGCTCTGTCAGTATTTAAAGTTGAAATTATGTATTTTAGACATCGATGTCTTTCAATGGAACTTGGCCAGAAACCCCCTAAATGCTTTCTTCTTATGAGTTATCTGAAACAATTGAGGTTTGAGCTGCATCATTCACTTGCAATTGACCTCGTTAGTAAAAAATGGAGTTTTCTTTTTCCTGGTTTATATCTTGTAACCATAAATAAAACTTGACAAAGACAGACTTTTAGCAAGTGGTAAATATTTCCTTTCTCACACCATAGAAAAGCTTACTCCTACAAAAAACTAGGCCACAGCTAAATAGTCTGGCTACCTGCTGCTCTGCTCACTCAGACTAACTGCAAGAGTGGGTTTATTTGAAAAGGGCATGACAACATCCTTGTCTGGGTCATATAACTTCCAGAGGCTCTGGAAACCTTCCCTATAGACCTATTAAACAGCATTCCAGCTCATATAAAATTGTTGCAATTAAAAAAAACCCCAACCTCTGTGCACAAGCACAGAATGAACTCTGAGAAATTTGTGTAAAGAATCTCAATAGCTGGGTGGGTAAAAAAATCCACTCACACAGTGTCCAAGCATGGGTGGAATAAATTCTTATTTCAACCCGAGTGAGCATTTTCCTTGCTCACTCCCCTCTATCAAATGCCGAGCCATAAATATAGGAAGAACTGCAGAGTTTGACAGGACTCAAAACTTCTCTCTGGTTTTTCTCCCAGCTATTTATGTGCTGTGAAGATTCCCAACCCCTTCTCTATGATTATTTTCTGATTTCTCACCCAGCAAAAATTGGATAAATATTTTAACACAAGAAGGTGCAATTATTTCCAGGAGAACTCTGCAACAGGGGCTGTGCCCCAGCTGTTTACAAATTACTCTTGGCAGGCTGGCGAATTTCAAAGCAATTACTCCCATTGCTCTGTTTGCGGCAGCACCGACGACGAGCTCCTGCCCTTTATGCAGGAGACTACTTTTCAGGAACCTTCTGCAAAGTCACCTTCGATGGATCTGCTCTCCAGACGCTGCAGCTTCTTCAGTTTCAGCCCTCTCCTATGTTGTGCTGTTCCTTGAAACAAGGCCAAAGCAAGAGTGAAGCAAGGCAGAACTGCCAGCCAGCCAGGAAGCGGTGCAGCCCTATGCTGCTGCTCCGGCCCTCTGGAAAGACATGGAGTAGAACAGCCAAAGAGAAACGAAAAGTGCCAACTCCACGCCATGAAATTCCAGCAAATGCACTCCAGAGTGGCTGATCAAATGCGCCTAAATACAGGTGAGCATTTATTTTAACAAGAGAGAGAACTACTGCCACTTTTCCCCAATGCTCTTCAGTTAAAAGAAGTGTAAACCCCAAGGTCTTTCATAACAGGGGCAGGATGGAAAGAAAGGTTTTCCATGCGGACCACCACGTTCAGCGCAGAGCCTCTGCCAGACTGCAACTTTAAATTCCAAGTTAAACATTTTTAAACAAGGAACATCACACTGAACAGTAAGCATGCTAAACTTGAGTGGCAAAAAGACAGAAAATTGTGTATTTTCAACTCAGACTGGAAAGTAAGCGGCAGTAAAGCTTTCTCAAGAATTAGCACTAAAAAACCCCACTGAAAAACATCTTCCTATACTTCCTATACATTTATTCATACCGCAACGCTTGTACCTGTTGTAAAGATGCACCAAGGTCCACACACATTCTTAAAATTCACTGCACCCCCTTTCTTTCAATCATACTCAACACCTTATGATTTCCTTTGTCACACCTAAGAATTTTAGAACAAACATCCCTCCCAATGGAAAAAGGAAACCACCTGAACCTATCCATGAAAATCCGCGAGACTGGTTCAGGGGAAAGGAGCATCTCCATTCCCTCCCCGGCTCCTCAGCAGATCTTCTGTGTAGCTGCCTTTTGCCAAAGTGAGCAGTGGACTCTGTGCAGACACTTCACCTCCCGCCAAGCAGGTGAAGTCACCCTCAGAGGTCTATAGGTCCTGGCAAGGAAACTGGCTCAGGCGCAAGCACAGGAAAAGCAGCAGATGGTGAAGTTAAAAATATTCCCAGAGAACGACGGCACCCCCTATGCCACCGGATAATAGAGAGGGGACCGCTGCTGCTCGCAACTCCCCATCAGCCACCTGCTCAGACCATTGGAAACGAAAAAGCCCTCCCCAAAGAGCAAGCAGCAGGGAAAAAGCTGTAAAGCTCTGCTCAGAAGTCGGCAGCACACACATGCCACATGCTGCAAAGCGCACCAGCTCAGCAGGGCAGGAAGCTGGGGAGCAGCACTACAGAACCATCAGAGCTGTTATCTGTAGCATCTTTTAAAATCACCTTTACCTGCCATCCTGCAAATACGAAACAGACTTCATTGATGGAATTAACAGGTGTGCCAGACAAGAATATACTCCCTCCTCGCCTTTTTTCTTCGGGATCTACCTTCTGGAAGGTGACATATGGAAGCTGTGCAAGACTAAGCCTTGAGGGACCTGCCTTTTTTAGATGTTGACCTTCTGCAGCAGGAAAATAACGAGACTGAATTTCTCCTAACAGGAAGCGGCTCTCCTCAAATCAAGTAATGAACTTTTCAACCCTTCTGCATGTCTTTGAAAGCAAAAACAAAGCTCTAAAAGCAAATAATAGACTCAATTAGAAACCTGCCAAATTGCCTACATCTGGTTATTGCTCAACATTTCTGGTTAAAATGGTTTATTTTGCTGGAACCGTTTTATAGAACTGACAAAATGTTAGAAATTTTAAAATAACTTGCGTTCGTGTATGAAATGATCACAGCTGCGCTACCGAATTCCACAGGAACACTGCCTGGAGAGACATTTCTATAGGCTGCCAATCAGCAATTGCTGTAAACACCCAGATGGCTAATTTTGTCACAGGACACAGAGGCTTACAATGCAGCTCTGCTTTTTACTGCTCAAAGCTACAGTGAGGCATCCAGATAAAATGTCAGATTCCTACAGTCACAGAGAAGCATGAGGTGGAGATAACCATGTCCCTCTCTGAGAACACCCTTCTGACCCCAGTCACTCTCTCTCCAGCAGAGACAGTTCAACTTGCCTGTTTCGTGGCATCCAGAAATGCCTTCCTGCCTGGAATAACGCTGTCAGCAGATATTCACATAACACTCTTACTTGCCCTTCCAGTACAAACAAGTTCTTAGTATCTGTGCACTATCCACAACAGCCTGGCGATCTGTATCAGTCGATTTGCTTTGCTAAGATCAGCACAGATCCAAGTCTGCGCCAAGGTGAATGTCTCAAAACATCACAGGTCTTTTCAGATGGACATTTTTCTGATACAGCCCTAAGCATTACTGCATTCACGCTTCTGTCCACTCAGAAAACACCGTGATTTTAGACTGCTGACCATGAGAACACCAGCAGCCTTCAAAACCAACAGTAATAGTAGTTAATCAACTGGTAGTTTGTTTCTCAGGCTACGCAAGTTACGCTGCAACACTTTAGAAGTCCATGTATGAACACGACGACACAGGAGACCTCCTCTTGCAAAGCCACCGAAAGAGTACGGCCACCTGCGCTTCAGGACGCAGACTCTGTGCCGACCGCAGCCTCCAGTGAGAGCTCTGGGGATATCCAGTTTTGCACCAAGAACAGAAGCATTTATAAATAAAACAAAAATTGATGTCTCATTACAGTTTATTTTTTTCAAGACGCAGGAAGTTTGTATGCATAAATATCTGCGTGGTTACTTTGGGGTAGACGGAAGAAAATTAAGGCTCCGCCACCACGGACCACTTCTGTACTGCATAGAAGAAAGGGGTTTCCAACATGTTTAAAAAAATAGGTACAAAATGGTTTCCAATAGTTTAAGCAAAAAAACCCAAGAAAAATATAGATCCAGGTAAACTAAAGTATGAATACACTCGGTGAGTGTAGATGCAGTTCTTGGATAATGTTATTTACTGCTTGAGAACTAAGACTTTTGTGATTCAACAAGCTCTGAAACCTCACTCAGTGACAACCTTGATGAAACGTGGGTTTGCCTAGCGTACTTATCAAGCCAAGAGCGAGCAAAGCCATGAGCACTCTAAACTATCAGAGTATTCCAGTGGCAAGCAACAGAGGAACCAGAAGTCGATTGTCATTCCCACCTCTCCCTGCCATCCCAAGGCTTCCACAAGAACATCATCTTCAACATGGCATTCTTGATCATCTCTGAACAGCCAGGACTCAGCTGCGAGGTGGGTCATTGACTGGCAGTTTATGGCTGCTCAAACAGGCTGAGATGGGAATGGAATACTTGATGATTCTCATCCTGAGAGTGCAATCAAGCTTTCCTAAAACAGGCACTAACTGTGAAACTGGCAAGACCCCAATCCTGTTCAGGTTGATTTTGCTCACTGTTGCTGCAGCCGGAAGAGTTTTGCTACCCAGCTGGTTTGGTAGCTGCCTTGCATTTTTCATTGGTTTCAAAGCTGTGTTTCAGTAACTCCCCATGTTGGTGAGACACTACAGTAGTGTCAAAGGGAAGATCTGTCAGGTAACTGCACCGAGTTTGATTTTATTTGGAATACTTGAAAAGAGATCATAAACATTTCAGTGTTAGGCCTGCTTTCCTGAAATTGCTGAAAGAGGTATTTTGCTCCTATATGTCTCAACGAAAAAAAGAAAAAGAATTTTCGATAGAGGATTACTGTTCAAAGAATTAGGTCTTTTCCCTACCTTGTCCACAGAAATTGCATATTCAAAAAAGGGAAAGTAACTCACTAAGTGCAGATACCCATCTCACACCCCAGGCTCACCACACCCTGCATATTCATAGTAATTTACAGATTCATTCTTGAGACTAGGATGGGGGGTCTTTGCTTACCTTTGGATTAGTTCGCTGCTGCAGTCTTCTCTCTTCCCTCTCTCTCTGCAAACGCTCAAATTCTTCCCTGATTTCAGCTGGAGTTCTCTTCCTTTCCACAACCTGCTCAGAAAGAAATTAAACCCAAAAGATTAGCAGGAAGAGGATGTTCAGGGTATTGCACTGCTGATGGGACAGAGTCCACCGACCCAGTACGCTCTAACATGTTGCCCCTGCTGCTGCTGTAAGCCACTCTGCACGAACTTCAATACTCAAGAGTTTGGAAGCAAAAACCTGGGCCAGATCAAATGGCAGGCATGGAGAAAACCCCACGCTTCGAGAGAAAGGAAAATGGTCTTATTTCTACTCCCTTGACAAAACCAGGGCAAACAGCTTTCAAACCACAAGTACAAGATACTGCAGCACAGCAGTTACCAACAGCTATATGCTAACTTCTCTACTAGGTGTAGACAGAAAAATGAAAACGACTGAAAGTTTCTGGCCTGAGGTAAACCGATTAAGTGAGAGTTGTGTGATTTTAGGCTACGCTGATTCACATCTGTTTACCTTACATGGCTCAGGGAATAAGGGTTTTAAATAGGTATGGCTCTAGGTAAGGACAGAAAGAGTATTGGATTTGACTTTTCAGAATAGGATCAAGTCTGCCACAAGCAACTCCAAAATGTCTGTGACATGCTGCTGCTGCTCCACATTTCTTGCTGCTGACTCCAAACTTGACCTTGGTACTGACCTGACCCAATACAAAGTGATTCTGCGGGAAGCAGCGTAGTGCAATCAACTAAGACTGGCAGAGGCTAGCAACGGAACTTAACAACAGGAAAGCCAGGAACAGACACGTTCTCTTTCAAAGCCCAAAACACCAAATAAACAAAAAAAACCCAACCCCGAGAAGCACAGAAAGAAAAAGTCATTTCAAACTCAGAGGCTAGCTAATGATGAAAACAAGTTTCAGATTAAAAAGATGAGACTAGATGGACAACAACAATGCATTTATCTCACACAAAGGTGTTGCCTGTCATGGTAATATCTTATTAGGGAACTCTGAATGTCAGGCTTATTGTTCTCTTGTCAAGCGAAAAACCTAAGTATTCTTTGAAAATCCATCACGGTGTTTCAGCAGAGAGAGAGAGAAACAGAAATAACTAAACAAGAATGCCTTCAAACAAACAGACATCTGTTACCATCAAGGTGTCAGTGCAGCTCGATAAAACAAGAACGTCAGATAAAGGTGGGTTTGGCCAATTCCACTGGGTATAAGGTGCTAAATTTCTCTCACCTCCCATCCTTCCATTTCCAGTCCTCTCCTCCCGTATATGTCATAGATGGCTCTGGTCTGTGGATCACTAAGCACTGAAAGTTAAAATCAAAAGAGAGGACAGAACTCAGTTTTTGGTCTTCTCCTCGAATTTCAGACAAACACACTAGCATTATTTGGAATTCAAGCACAGATCCTAGAAACACATTGTTCTAGAGTTGCATCCAATTTTTACATCAACTCCCTTTAACCTTTTCACATGCTACATTAACAGGACACACTGACTTTTCCCCCCAACAAATTCCTTCTTTTTTTTTTTCCTTACTTCTAAAATCAAAAAGTGAAAAGAACACAAAAGAGACACGCAGAATAACTGAGTAGGCAGCAGGTTTTTTTTTAACATTGCTATTGTACATTAAGGCAAAAGAAGCCTTATACTAGTAATTGAGCTTTGATCTGAACTACTTGAAGATTATTGAACTTGCTAAATGTCACAGGCAGATACTATTTTTTATAAATTCTGATAAAATAAATCTCTTATTGCGTGATATTAAGAGATGGAAGAGGAGGGGGAGAAAATAGGCAGGAGGTGGGGTGGCTTATTTTCAAGATGTCAGCATTTTTGCTTGTAAAATATTACGTTCACATCTGGTACTAAATGAGGAACAATTTACATATACATCACAACACAGAGCCAAGCAGAGTCATGGAATCCAAGGGGAAAGCTGACCTACTCACCACATTAAAACGAAATTATTGATGCATCCTGAGTTTTTATTCCCCATGACATCAATGTGAGACCTTCACTGTTCTCCCCAGCTAAAGCTCCCGTATGTCCTAATGCCTAGCTAGGGACAATGTGAAAGACTCCACCCATGTCCAAGGTCCAACTGGAAGAAACAAATGCTTATGGTTCAGAAAACACAAGAGTAAAAAAAAAAAATTTTAGCTCACCTCTGAGATTTAACAGAGGAATATTTATTCACCATTTTGCTTTAGTTTCTCTTTAGGCTACAGGACCAGGCATCTAGTTTGCTGCACCATTTTTTTAATGCGGAAGAGTCCTACTAGCTTCTAATCCATTTGCATTCCAGATGCCTCTAATCACACTTGCCAAATGCTGCGAGATAATTCTAACGAATCACTTCCTTGTGCCTCAGTTACGCTATGTACTACCTACGGTGACACCAGGATTTAAGGATGTTGTCTTAATTCAGAATATTTTTAAAGGGCTTTGGCATCCCTGGATGAGAAAAACCCCCTAACTTCTGTGAATCCATTGCCCTTATCTCAGTCCTAGAGTATGGAAGAACTTGCTGAAAAACAATGGAGACCATAACCAGGTGACAGAGAACAGAAATTCAGGATGCATCAGTTCAAAAGTAAAATATGAAATTGTCTTTCTGTTCGCAGCTTTTCAGTCTTCAGCCACTTATGGAAGAGTCTTTTCAGAAGCAAGGGAAGTGGTGAAAAGATTATTTACAACATGTGGGAAATAAGACAGAGACACCGCATCCCATTCATTACAGAATTTATACTGCATTGCTCCTCTGATTTACAGGACAGAAGCAGGAAACAAAGCATTGCTAAGCATCAGCAAATTTTATTATTACTTCGTAATAATAGCTGTCTTCTAACGAAAGCATGAAGACACAGCCCTCCGTCTAGAACCCCCCTGAAAACAGTTTCTGTAAGCTTCAGACTTCCACTGACCTTCATAAGCTTGGTGAACAAGGTTAAACAGCCGCTCAGCTTGCGTTTTCAGCTCTGGGTCTCTGTGCTTGTCTGGGTGGTACAGCATACACAGTCGGCGGTAGGCAGCTTTTAGCTCTTCCTGAGAGGCCTGTGAAGAGCAGTAAAAATGCACTGAAGTATAACCACTGCTATTTAAAAAAGACCATTCTTAAGATCAGCCCTAGAAGAGAAGTCCATCAGCTATTATATTACACTACTTTTACTTACACAAAATCAAGAACGGACTTTTGTTTCATTCCATAAGTTAATGAAATATTCAGTTGTGCACACTGGTATTTATCATACTATTTACAGTGCAACAAGCTCATCAGTGTATATCTAGGTATAAAAAAAAAAAAAAAAAAAAAAAAAGCCACCAAAGCAATCTGTCTTCATACATTATTTTTATTAGGCAACTACTGTCTCCTCAATGCAATGCAGAAATCACCTCAGGATAAAACCACTTAAATCCAGAGATGTACATCAAATTCTACTTGTATTTCCATCTCAAACCCTCAAGTAGATATTATAACTATCAAGAAGCACGTCCCTTCCACAGCAGTAAAGGTAAGAGACATAAACCTACAGGTTTCTGTTCATCCCTCCGCTGCTATGCTCCCTCCCTACACAGCGAGGGCTCTCTGTTGTGCTCCGAGGCGCACCGCCTGCCCTCAGGAACCCCTCACCTGCAGCGGACGGGAATCCACAAGAACAGCGTGTCACTAAATGCATCAGGAAAAAAAAAAAAAGGCCCTGTTCCTTACCACAGCCACGCTGGAATTTCAGACAGCACCTGGCCTGGTTCCAAAGACACGTGGTGGCAACAGATTTTGGATGGCACTCTCAGAATCAATGGAATAAACCCGCCAGTCCTTCCGTTACCATCTCTCGGGAGACAACCTCACAGCAATATTATTTTTTGACTCTAAAGAGTCCTGGTAACTTCCCTTTCTCAGCTCATTCCTGCAGCAGCCCTTGTACTGCAGCCACTGTCTATCCCCCGGGGGTCGGTTAACACCTATTTAGAAGTGCAGTTGCCAAAACCAGCCATAACTTCTCTGGAAGGCACACGCAGCTTCACAGAGCTACCGACTGGCCAGTTCCCAAACTGTCCGGGCAAGAAGCAGTTCCCGGGGTGCAGGAAGCAGGACACCCTTCTCTGCACCAGGAGAAACACGCCGAGTAAAAGAACCAGAACAACACAACGGGTACTTGCTGGCCTCCTTCAAGCAAATGTCACCCCTTTGGTCGTAGCCGGGGGTTACAACGGACAGGAACACAATGCCAGCAAGCAAGCAAGGGGCGTCCACAAAATGGCTTTCCATAACAGAATTTAAAGACACAAATTCCATTTACTCTTAATGCTCTGCAGTGACTGAAGCGTTCACAGTTTCCAAGCTTTCATCGTGGGAATAAAGGCCCTAAAGGTTTGTTTCTTAAAGGAACACCTTTTTTCCCAACTTGTGGTAAGGAGAGCCTGGGCTTTCATCACAGAAATGCGTTCATTTGTGTGCCAAAGCTAGAAATCCGTTCAATTTTGAGGACAGCTTAGAATAAATGTTTTCTCTGCACATTTGTACTATTTAATGTTAATGTTTCTAAAGGATATAGCAAAAGGGGATCTGCCAAATTTGCTGGCCCCAAGACGGCAAAGGTGGCTACAGATTAGCTCTTTTCTTTTTACTACCTTGTGCTGTCTCAGAAATCAAATTTAAACTCAACTGAGAAAGCAGGGAAACATATTGGTCTGAAATGGCATTCTGTAATCAAACTAGTGATAAATGGTTTAACGTACTATTGATTATATAACAGAAATGAGCAGTTTCATTTTTCATAAATGCCATGTTCAATAAAATGTTAGATTGGGCCTTTCATCACCACTGAATAGCTCAGGTCATTGGTTCAATATTTCACGAGCAATAGGCTCTTAAAAACCGCTAAAGAAATACTGACATAATTTCAAATTGCAATGAAATACATAGGCCAGTAATAATCATATGTAAGTTATAGTTTTATTACCAAAATTCCAGGCAAAATTAAGAGGTGCCCCATCTCCCCATTTGGGGTTTAAACTGCTTCATTTAACAGTTCAAACACGCCACCATGTTTTTACTGGGCTGAAATCTATCAGAGATTAAACATTTCTATACATACGCACTGGAAACCGCTGCCCTCTCCTCATCGGGCTGCAAAGTGCAGTGGTTAACTATTATTTTAAGCTCAGCTGCCACATCACGCGAAGTTGGCTCAGCACGCAGAAATGCGCATTCACCGCATTCCACCGCTACACAGGATAGTAGCGTTTCATTTCAATTTAATTAGCAAAGGGTAATTAACAAAGCAGCTACTACTCTCAGTTGGAATTACTCCCTCAAAGACCATTTTGACTTGGTTTCCAGCTCCCTGCTGTACCAAACGTGAATTTGCTGGTCTCGTGAAGAGCTGGAAGCCTAGCTAAGTTAACTATTAAGCCTTTGCTGCTAATCTCCCAAGCAGTCGCAACCCTCGTGCGGTTCCTACCTCCCTCTTTTAACCTCTACATCTGCACGCTGCTGACGTTTGGGAGGGTGAATTACAAAAGCTGTCGAGTAATCTAAAAGAACGGCCCGGCAGCTTTAGCAGGGCTCAGGCTTCGGTCACAGGGAAATTTTTCACAAGAGAGCACGCTTTACTGCCTGGCGTCAGAGAGCTGTGCAAACAGTTATGTTCACGTGCTTTTCCTCCAGAAATGTAGGAGATTTCCACAAACACACACGGGATTCTGCCACCGAGGCCACGAGTACTGACATTAACTCCAAAGAAAATTATTTCAAAGCTGTTGGACTGAATTGTTTCCAAGTCTTGAACTCCCACCATAGGCAGAGTAGTTCAGTGAAAGCCTTCTTCAGCTCCCGTTGCTAACGTCTGGGCCGACCTGCTTGAGTAGCGAAGGCTGTTTATAGATACACCCCCCATCATATTTTGCTGCTGCATTTGATGAAACAAACGACAGCACAGTTTCTGCATTCAGACGTTTGGCGATTTACCTAATTGTTGCTACAAAAAAAAGCAGTTACCTCCCATTAAATTCGGAACAGTTCTAGCACAGCAAAAGTGCATCCGTTATTACCGGTCTATTCCTAAAAATGAAAGCGAGGACGACTGAGCCGCCTTCTTGTCGGGAGAGGCGTTTTGCAAAAAATTGCAGGTGTCCCCAATTTGGAAACATTTGGGAAGTCCCCACAGCAGTGACTAAACCAGGAACGCACACACGACCCTGGGAAGGGGTACGTCACACACGTATGTAGGGATGGGGTACGTTACGCACAGATGTAGGGGTGGGGTACATGACACACGTATGTAGGGGTGGGGTACATGTCACACACAGATGTAGATGTCACACATGGATGTAGGGATGGGGTACGTCATGCACAGATGTAGGGATGGGGTACATGACACACATATGTAGGGATAGGGTATGTTACGCACAGATGTAGATGTCACACACGGATGTAGGGGTGGGGTACGTCACACAGATGTAGATGTCACGCACAGATGTAGATGTCACGCACAGATGTAGGGACACGCCCAAGGCCACGCTACCACCCGCCCCGAGGAAACGCA